CTCTCTTTTACAGTGTACAATTCACTGTTTTTTAGTATATTCATAAGGTTATGCAACCATCTCAATGATTTAATTTTAGAATATTTTCATCACCCCAAAAAGGAACCCTGTACCCATTTAGCACTTGTTTCTCATTTTCCCCTGCCTCCACCAGCAACCCTCAACAACCTGTCATCTGCTTTCTTTCTCTGTGGATTTGCCTATTTTCAACATTTATATAAATTGAATCATAATATGTGTCTTCTTGTTTCTGGCTGTATTTACTATTAATCAGTTCTGTTGTATTTTATTTTTAAACAGACTTCTCCTTAAAAATATCAGTCTTGGCCGGGCATGGTGGCTCACGCCTGTAATCCCAGCACTTTGGGAGGCCAAGGTGGGCAGATCACGAGGTCAGGAGTTTGAGACCAACCTGACCAACATAGTGAAACCCATCTCTACTAAAAATACAAAAATTAGCCAGGCATGGTGGCGCACACTTGTAGTCCCAGCTACTCAAGAGGCTAAGGCAGGAGAATCGCTTGAACCTGGGAGGCAGAGGTTGTGGTGACCTGAGATCACGCCACTGCGCTCCAGCCTCGCCACTGCACTCCAGTCTACTCGGCAACAGAGTAAGACTCTGTCTCAAAAAAAAAAAAGAAAAAAAATCAATCTTGTGGGCCAGGCACAGTGGCTCATGCCTGTAATCCCTGCACTTTGGGAGGCTGAGGCGGGCAGATCAGAAGTTCAAGACCAGCCTGGCCAACATGGTGAAATTCTGTCTCTACTAAAAATACAAAAACTAGCCGGGTGTGGTGGCCTACACCTGTAATCCCAGCTACTCTGGAGGCTGAGGCAGGGTAATCACTTGAACCCGGGAGGCAGAGGTTGCAGTGAGGCAAGATCATGCTACTGTACTCCAGCCTGGGTGGCAGAGTAAGACTGCATTTAAAAAAAAAAAATCAGTCTTTTGTCCTTTAAAATTATCAAAAAGTGAAAGTTTTTGGCTTTGAAATGGCGGTCACAATTCATTGTCCTCTTTCTTGCAAAAGTTAAAAATAAATGCAACTTGAATGAAATGTAAGTCTGACAATCTCTAAACCTAAAATCAAGGAGGAGCTTTGTTTCTGCTTCCACAGAAGCAAATTCTCAGTTTGATTAGAGAGGATAATGTTCCGTATTTTGTTTCCAAAGTGTGAAACTTTCCTGGCTTTATATCATTTTTATTGTGTCTAGATATGAACTTTCTTTGCTAGTTGATTTTCCTTGTTGTTAATCCTTGTATCTCGGCACCCAGGCCTGCCACTTGCTTTACCAATATAATTTTAAGCTAGCTGAATAAGCAATATTTAGTTTAAAGGCATTTACAAGTCATATAACTTAATCATTTTAAATGAATGGTTGAGTGCAAGCAACTTTTCTTCTTCTTTTTTTTTTTTTAAGTATTTCTGATTAGGTAACGGGAAAGATCTGTACTCAGAAGAATAAATAGATAATATAATTTAAGTACTTAAGTAATACTAAGTTCAAGTTAAATTCTCTTATTTAAATTTTTTTTTAATTTTTATAAATGAGGGAACTAAAGTGGGAAAAGTTAATTGACTAACCTGTGATCACATAGCAAGTAAGTGGTGCAGCTGGAATTAGAATACAGACCTAAATTTAGTTCTGCCTTACTGCTTGGTATAAAACCCACTTTCTATTTCTCTTTTTTCCCACTTTCTGTTTTTTAAGGATCCAAGTTTACCTTTGAGATGGGCATTCTCTTTGTCTCTCATTGTAGGTGAGGTTGGTAAATAATAGAGCAAAGGGAGGCAGTATGTTCTAGGGCAGTGGTTTTCAAATGTTGGCATGTATCAGAATCACCTCTGGGGCTTATTAAAACACAGATTGTGAGGCCCCCTATACCCAGAGCCTCTTATTTAGAAAATATGGAGTAGGCCTTGAGAATTTGCATTTCTAACAAATTCCCAGGTGATGCCAAAGCTGCTGTCCCAGGGACCATACTTTGAGAACCACTCCTGGAAAGCCAGCAGAGGCTTTGGAGTCAGTCACCCCCAGGTCTACACTCTGGCTGTGTGACTGACTGCTGTGTGAACTAGAAGTGATATGTCTCAGTTTCTTGTACTTTGAAATGGGGATAATAATATTGACTTCACAGAGTCATTGTAAGAGTTGATGTGTTAATATTTTTTAAAAGTTTAGCATACTGCTTGGTACATAGTAAACATTCAATAGATGGTTTCTGTTGTTATTTATAATAAAGCTTAGGGATTAATTAAATCTTTAGGAACCATAAATTCAGTTAAGAGTTTTAAAGTAGTTTCTCAGAAACTTTTTGTGACTTTGTAGCTTCAAGATATTGTCAGAGGCTAGGTGCAGTGGCTCATGCCTGTAATTTCAGCAGTTTGGGAGGCCGAGGTGGGTGGATCATCTGAGGTCAGGAGTTCGAGATCAGCCTTGCCAACATAGTGAAACCCTGTCTCTACTAAAAATACAAAAAAAACTCACTACAGGTGGTGAGTACCTGTAGTCCCAGCTACTCAGGAGGCTAAGGCAGGAGAATTGCTGAACCTGGGAGACGGAGGTTGCAGTGAGCCAAAATCGGGCTATTGCACTCCAGCCTGGGCGACAGAGCGAGACTCTGTCTCAAAAAAAAAAAAAAAATGTTGTCAGGTGTTGTTAGGACACACACACACACACACTCATGTATACAAACACATTCTCTTGACTTTTCTTCTTATTTATGGTAGACTTGGCAGAAGAGGAGAGCAGCAGAAGTGACAAAAACACATGGAAGAATATGGAAAAATTAGAACCCTCATATATAAGTGGTGAGAATGTAAAATGGTATAGCTACTTTGGAAAACAGTTTGGCAGTTCCTCAAAAAGTTAAACTTAGAGTTACCAAACGGACTCAGCGATTCTACTCCTAGTTCTATAACCAAAAGAATTGAAAACCTGTTAACACAGTAACTTGAACACAAATGTTCACTGAAGTATTATTCAAAACTGCCTGAAAGAAACAATCCAAATGTCCATAAATTCATGAATGGATAAACAAATGTGGCATATCTATACAATAGACTATCTATTCAGCTATAAAAAAGAAATAAAGTCCTGATACTTGTTACAATGTGGTTATACCTGGAAACATACTGCTAAGTGATAAAAGGCAGACACAAAAGGCTACATATTGCATAATTCCATTTATATGAAATGACCAAAATAAGCAAATCTATACAGCTAGAAAGTAAATTAGTGGTTGCCAGGGGATGGGAAAAAAGGGTAACAGTGAGTGACTGCTAATGGTTATAGGGTTTCTTTTTGAGATGATGAAAATGTTTTAAAATTAGATAGTAGAGATGGTTGCACAGCGTTTTGAATATTCTAGAAAACACTGAATAGTATAATTTAAAACATTTTATGGCTTATGAGTTATATCTCAAAAAACCCAAAATGCACACCTATGTATGTGTGGACATGAAGCATGAATGAGGAATAAACCTTTTTTGTTATTACAAGTATTTGTGGGGAAGAGGAGGTGATTCATAGTGAGGTGACATTCTGTGAAGTATACTACCCTATTAGAGATTCTAGTATCCTAGAGAAGAGTGGATCTCAGGTTTTAGTATACATAGGAACCCCCTGGACCCCCCTGTTTGTTAAAACAGGTTCCTGGCCCCCACCCCAGAGGTTTTGGGTACAGCCTGAGAATTTGCATTTCTGATGTGCTTTCAGATGAGGGTTGATTTTGTAAGATTGAGAACTAAACTTTGGGTAGCATCTTTATAGATTAGACATATCCTATACTTAAATGGGTGAATTTTATGACATGTGAAGTATATCTCAATAAAGATGCTTAAAAAAATGGGTATAAAGATAGTAAAATGTAAGGCCGGGCGCGGTGGCTCAAGCCTGTAATCCCAGCACTTTGGGAGGCCGAGGCGGGCGGATCACAAGGTCAGGAGATCGAGACCACAGTGAAACCCCGTCTCTACTAAAAATACAAAAAATTAGCCGGGCGCGGTGGCGGGCGCCTGTAGTCCTAGCTACTCAGGAGGCTGAGGCAGGAGAATGGCGTGAACCCAGGAGGCGGAGCTTGCAGTGAGCCGAGATCGCGCCACTGCACTCCAGCCTGGGCAACAGCGTGAGACTCCGTCTCAAAAAAAAAAAAAAGATAGTAAAATGTGAGTTTTAGTGGTTTGTTAATGGCAAGACAATGCTCTGTAAGGGAATTGGTTTAATAATTAATTTCTTCATTTGTAAAATGTGTCACTCTCCTGTGTATGTGCCACCTAGGGCTGTGGTGAAAATGGGGTTATGTGTTCTTTTCCAAATGGTATTTTGTGGGTAAAATGTGTTGCCTTTAAAAAAAAAAAAAAAAAAAAAAAGGCCATGGCTACATTGAAGCTTTTGTAATTAACCAAATGTTTTCTTATAGTGTAAAAACAGTATAGGCAGGGTGCAGTGGCTCATGCCTGTAATCTTAGCACGTTGGGAGGCCGAGGCGGGTGGATCACCTGAGGTCGGGAGTTCGAGACCATTCCTGACCAACATGGAGAAACCCCCGTCTCTACTAAAAATACAAAATTAGCCAGGCGTGATAGTGCATGCCTGTAATCCCAGCTGCTCGGGAGGCTGAGGCAGGAGAATCCCTTGAACCCAGGAGGCGGAGGTTGTGGTGAGCCGAGATCATACCATTACACTCCAGCCTGGGCAACAAGCGCGAACTCCATCTCAAACAAACAAACAAACAAACAAAAAACAGTATAAACTTTAAAATATTGTATTCTGTCTTTTTAATTTTGGCTACAAAAACATTTCACCCTTGATTTTCTTTAGTGATTTATTTTAAGCATTAATTTTGACAAGTTATAATCTATTTTTTCCCTTTCCTATGATTTTTTTGTTTTATTAAACCTCTTGAGATTAAATATATGATTGTGACATTTGGAATGCTTGTATATAGTGTTAAAACATCTTTTCATGACTTTACCATAATTATTTCTTTATTTCAGATGAGGTGGAGGACCATCCTGCTACAGTATTGCTTTCTCTTGATTACATGTCTACTTACTGCTCTTGAAGCTGTGCCTATAGACATAGACAAGACAAAAGTACAAAATATTCACCCTGTGGAAAGTGCAAAGATAGAACCACCAGTAAGTGAAATGAAGTGAAATAGGAGGAATTATAACTAGATGAAATGAATTATAATTATAACTAAATGAGGTAAAATGAGGTGAAATTATAATTAAATGAAATCGGAGGAATTATAATGAAAATATTGGTAATATTTATGACTTATAAAATTATACACTTGGAAACTATTTCTGAAATAGCAGTGAAAAGAGTATTGGACAAGCATATGCTGCTTACCCTTAGACAATATTTATTTAATATAGTTAGTATATTAAATAGGAGAATTAGTTGTAATACATTTCTGACACAGAGCTAACTAGCCAATAAAACACTGTATTATATTCAAAGCAGAGACAGATAACAATGGGGAGAAACCAAAATGGTAAAATCTTCATTGTCTGAACCATATAGAAAATCTACTGGACTACAGAGTGTCGTAAAAAAGAAAAATCTACCTTTATGTAACAATAAAAGATGATATTGGTTCTGATATAAAACTATTTATTTCAGAAATACAGCTTTTTCACTTTGTTGAAACTATCATAGTAAGTGTGTCTCAATGCCATTTGCTAGAAATTGTTTCTCAGGATTGACCTCTTTAGATTCAAACAAGGAAAAACCTGCAGAAGCATTACTGTTGGTTTCTTAATTTGAAGGATACTGGACTTTATTATGATGAATATCTCAAGCAAGTGATTGATGTGCTGGAAACAGATAAACACTTCAGAGAAAAGCTCCAGAAAGCAGATATAGAGGAAATAAAGGTAAATGCAATTAAATAATATATACATATATGTGTCTTAATTTACAATTTTTTTAGAGATGAGGTCTCACCGTATAACCCAGGCTGGCCTTGAGTTCCTGGGCTCTAGCTGTCCTCCCACCTCAGTCTCTCCAGTTGTTGGGACTACAGGCGCATGCCACCACGCTCGGCTTAAATATTTAACAAACATTTGCACATGCCAGACACTGAGCTAAGTACTAGAAATACAAAGATGAGATTTATTCCCAGCCCTTAAGGAACCCTCAAGGGAAAATCATATCCAGAAATAGATTATAAGATGGATTATATGATGAGTATTTAATCTAGAAATACAGATGACAGACACATAATCTAATATGAAGCAGTGGGGTGAAGTGGGAAGTTATTCTTCCTGATAGAGATTATGCTAGAGCTTAAAGATGTAGTGAGAAAAGTAGAGGGACTGGGAGGCATCCCAGACAAAGGTGCAATGGTACAGAGGCAAGAGGTATACGGGAAACTGGAAGCAGTAACTGTGGCTAGACCCCAGAGTGGGAAATGGAGGCCTGAGTGGCCAAAAGATGAGGTTTGGGAAGAGTCACAACCTCAATGACAGAGGGCCTGTATATCATGTTAAGGGGTTTGGGTCATTATCTGAGAACAGCAGAAAGTTATTCAAAAGTTTGGAATAGGCGAGGTTCTGGTGTTTTAATCAGGTCCAGATTAATAGAAGAAATAATGGGCTATGTATTATATCAATCAGAGAGGTTTAACCATTTGACTCTGTCCTAAGTACCCTATTTGACATAATTCTAGCCATAGTGAGCTCTTTGGTACTCATAATAAGAAAGGGGGTTGTAGAGATCTGACATGAGAGATTCTTGTAAAGTCTTTCCTTAAAAGGAAATGAATCAGCTTAGCTGGGTTTATCTTAGACTCAGTGAGTAAAAAAAATCCAGTTAATTTTAAAATTTCAATAATGTCTCCTAAGATAATTTTGTTTGCTTATGTTACCTTTATTTATTTAATTTTTACTTTCCTAAAAACTTACGTTGCCTTTTTTCTAGAATCAGAATAAGAGAATTGTGTTTGAAAGACTCATTCTGGGTCAAACAAACCTTTTATTTTAGTTTCTGATCTTGGTGTGAACTTCTTTGAAAGACTGACTCCCGTTAGGTTGTGGTGTCTGTCAGCGCTCAGGTGTGGCATTTAGTTCACAGCTCTCCTCTTTGAAGTTGTGAACTTTTCTGGGGAAAAGGTAATAGTGTTATGCTAATAGTTCCCCGGAATTGTCTATGAGGATAACCTTACTCTTCTTCTCAAGGATTAATTCGATATGTGGAACAAGTTTCCTATGCTGAATATATCTGATGTAGAACTCTTAATGTCTTTGTATCAGGAGTAAGAGCATTATTTGGGGTAACATAGAAAATGTGGATCGTGGGAGATACTACATAGAGATATTCAGGCAAAGAAGAAAATATGCTTCCTAGATTGGTGCAGGGAATATTTTTATAACTCTCTTCCTTTCACATTCAATTCCTGTTTCTGTGAAGGGTTAGGGGGAACCAAAATGAAGTTAAACAGTTACACAATAAAAAAGAAATGAGGGGCTGGGTGCAGTGGCTCAAGCCTGTAATCTCAGCAGTTTGGGAGGCTGAGGCAGGTGGATCTTGAGGTCAGGAGTTCAAGACTAACCTGACCAAGATGATAAAACCCTGTCTCCACTAAAAATAGAAAAATTAGCCGGGTGTGGTGGCACGCACCTGTAATTCCCAGCCACTCGGGAGGCTGAGGCAGGAGAATTGCTTGAACCTGGGCAGCAGAGGTTGCAGTGAGCCAAGATTGTGCCACTGCACTCCAGCCTGGGCAATAGAGTGAGACTTTGTCTTTAAAAATAAATAAATAAATAAATAAATAATAAAAGAGGGGCGGGCGCAGTAGTCCACACCTGTAATCCCAGTAGTTTGGGAGACTGAAGCAGGAGGATGGCTTCTAGCCAGTGGTTTGAGACCAGCCAGAGCAACATAGTGAGACCCTGTCATTACAAAAAATTAAAATTTAAAATTAATTTAATTAAAAATTAAATTAAAAATTATCCTTCAAATTAAAAAAAAAAATTGTCTGAGGCCAGGCACAGTGGCTCACACTTGTAATCCCAGCAGTTTGAGAAGCCAAGGTGGGAGAATCGCTTGATCCCAGAAGTTCAAGACCAGCCTAGGCAATATAGTGAAACCCCTAGCTCTACCAAAAATATAAAAAATTAGCTGGATGTGGTGATGTGTGCCTGTAGTCCCAGCTGCTCAGAAAGCTGAGGTGGGAGGATCACTTGAGCCCAGGAGTTTGAGGTTGCAGTGAGCCATGATTATATGACTGCTCTAGCCTGTATGACAGAGAGCAAGACCTCATCTCTTACAAAACAAATAAAAAATGAGTAAAACTAGACAATAAAACCCAAACCAGTAGAATCATCACAAATAACCAAGAAAAACTCTCGTTTCATAAAAAAATGAAGGAAAAAAGTTAGAATTTTCTCTTTCCTTTTTTTTTTTGGGACAAGGTCTCACTCTGTCACCCAGGCTGGAGTACAGTGACACAATCTTGGCTCACTGCTACCTCTGCCTCCTAGACTCAAGCGATCCTCCCACCTCAGCCTCCCAAGTAGCTGGGACTACAGGTGTGGGCCACGTTGTCTGGCTAATTTTTGTATTTTTAGTAGAGATAGGAGTTTTGTATTTTTAGTAGAGATGTTGTCCAGGCTGGTCTCAAACTCCTGACCTCAAATGATCCCCCTGCCTTGGCCTCCCAAAGTGCTGGGATTACAGGCATGAGCCTCCGTGCCTGGCCTCTCTTTCCTTTTCAGCTAAGCATTTTGAAAGGAAAATCATATTACATTTCTTCACTTCCCAAACATTCCCTAACTGGAAAGGTTATGGTACTGCCCTCACTGTTCCACTGAATATACCTTCATGGAGGGCATCCGTGACTTCTTAATTGCCAAATCTAGTGAACATCCTAACACCTTTGATTCCTCATTCTACCAGACTCCTTTATTTATCTCAATAGTTTTTAGATTTCAGGGTTTGTTAAAACATATTTCTGGTTCCTACCTTCAGGGTGTCCAATTCAGTAACTCTAGGGCCTGCATTTCTGAAGTTCCCTGGTGATGCTGCTCCAGTTGGGGACTACATTTTGACAACCATTGTTTTATCTAATAATAATGACTATTCTCTCCTTGAAATATACTGCTCTTTTTGATTCTGTAACAGTATATTCTCCTAGTTTTCCTACTAATCACTCATCTATGAAGAAAGCAATCAAAGGGGACCTAAAAAAGATAAATTTTGAAAAGCTTTTATATATGGAATGACTAATGCTTATAGAGGCCAACTGACTTTTAATTTAAATGTTCTTTTTAGCCCTAATGGTGCTGACCAACTTAACTTTTTTAAAAAATAAGAAGCCGGGTGCAGTGGCTCCCGGGAATCCCAGCACTCTGGGAGGCTGAGGTGGGTGGATTGCTTGAGCTCAGAAGTTCGAGACCAGCCTGGGCAACATGGCAAAACCCTGTTTTCTACAAAAAATACAAAAATTAATCAGGCATGGTGGCATGCATCTGTAATCCTAGCTACTCGGGAGGTTGAGGTGGGAGGACTGCTTGAGCCTGGGAGATTGAGGCTGCAGTGAGCCATGATCATGCTACTGCACTCCAGCCTGGGTGACAGACTGGACCCCATCTCATAAAATAAAATAAAATAAATAAATAAATAAATAAATACTTTGTTGACATGTAATTCATATACCATAAAATTTATCTTTTTAAAGCATAAAATTCAGTGTCTTTTTGTCTGTTTTTTTGTTTTATTTTGTTTTGTTCTGAGATGGACTCTTGCTCTGTCACCCAGACTGGAGTGCAGTGGCATTATCTCAGCTCACTACAACCTCCACCTCGCCGGCTGAAACGATTCTCCTGTCTCAGCCTCCTGAGTAGCTGGGACTACAGGCATGTGCCACCACACCTGGCTAATTTTTGTATTTTTAGTAGAAATGGGTTTTCACCATGTTGGCCAGGCTGGTCTCAAACTCCAGCGCTTTAACGATCCATCTACCTCAGCCTCCCAAAGTGCTGGGATAACAGGTGGGAGCTACCGCACCCTGCCATTTCAGTAGTTTTTTAATATACCCGCAGAGTCATGCAATCATCACCACTATCTAATTTTAGAATATTTTCATTGTCCCCAAAATAAACTGTGTGCCCATTAAGCTGTAACTCCTAATTGCGCCCCTTTCCCCAACCACAATAAATCTACTGTTCATCTCTGTGGATGTGCCTGTTCCGGACATTGCGTATACATGGACTCATAGAATAAATGGTTTATTGTGTCTGGTTTCTCTCATTTAGCATAATGTTTTACAGGTTCATTCATGTTGTAGCATGTGTCAGGATTTTATACTTTTTTATGGCCAAACAACATACCATTGTATTGGTATACTGTATTTTGTTTATCCATTCATTATTGATATTGACATTTAGGTTTCTGCTTTTTTGGACTAGTATGAATATGCAGCTATGAATATTATGTTTAAGTTATTGTGTTAACATGTTCTTTTAATTATATATCTAGGAATGGAATTGTTGGGTCATGGTAACTCTATGTTTAACTTTTTGAGGAACTGCCAACTGTTTTGAAGTGGCTATACCATTTTACAATTTAACCTTTTGAGTTTCTGCTTTGTGCTTTAATGATGCTTTTCTAAATTACATGGTTTTTCAGACATCTGGATTTTAGAGTTAAAGCTAATCTTTTTTTTTTTTTTTTTTTTTTTTTGAGATGGAGTTTCACTCTCGTTGCCCAGGGTGGAGCGCAATGGCATGATCTTGGCTGACTGTAACCTCCGCCTCCTGGGTTCAAGCGATTCTCCTGCTTCAGCCTCCCGAGTAGCTGGGATTATATGCATGGGTCATCACACTCGGCTAATTTTTGTATTTTTAGTAAAGACGGGGTTTTACCATGTTGGCCAGGCTGGTCTCAAACTCCTGACCTCAGGTGATCCGCCTGCCTTGGCCTCCCAAAGTGCTGGGATTACAGGCATGAGCCACCGCACGTAGCCTTTTTTTTTTTTTCTTTGCGACAGAGTCTCGCTCTTGTTGCCCAGACTGGAGTGCAGTGGCGCAATCTTGGCTCACTGCAACCTCTGCCTCCTGGGTTCAAGTGAATCTTCTGTCCCAGCCTCCTAAGTAGCTGAGATTGACAGGCGTGTGCCATCATGCCCAGCTAATTTTTGTGTTTTTGGTAGAGACGGTATTTTGGCAGGTTGGCTAGGCTGGTCTCGAACTCCTGACCTCAGGTGATCGCCCACCTCAGCCTCCCAAAGTGCTGGGATTACAGGTGTAAGCCACCATGCCCAGCCCTAAAGCTAATATCTTTTGAAAGAAATTCTTTTTATAATATTAAATGTATCTAAATTAGTCAAAAGTATTTATCACTAATGTATTTTAACCCTGTTTTTAAGCTGTTGCATTTGTCTAAAAATGAAATGTAATAGATAAAACTAATTTATTAATTTTGTTAACAGAGTGGGAGGCTAAGCAAAGAACTGGATTTAGTAAGTCACCATGTGAGGACAAAACTTGATGAACTGAAAAGGCAAGAAGTAGGAAGGTTAAGAATGTTAATTAAAGCTAAGTTGGATTCCCTTCAAGGTAAGTGCTAAACAAAAGGTAGGAATATATATATTTTTCTTTTTTCCTTTTGAAACAGCATTTTGCCCTGTTGCTCAGGCTGGAGTGCAGTGGCACAATCACAGTTCACTACAGCCTTGACCACCTGGGCTCAAGTGATGCTCCTATCTCAACCTCCTGAGTAGCTGAGACCACAGATGTATGCCACCAAGCCTGGCTAAATTTTTTTGTTAGTTAGAGAGACAGGGTCTCGCTATGTTGCCTGAGCTGGTCCTGAACTCCTGGGCTCAAGCGATCTTCCTACCTTGACCAAAGAGCTGGGATTACAGGCATGAGCCAGCAGGCCTGGCTAGAAAATTTTAGTATTTGGTTGTTGAGGTCAGTTTATATTAGTACGTGCCATCTATGTTCTTCTAGTCAAAATTTTGTTAGTATTGATTTGGCTTCTCTTAATTTTTGGAATTTAATGTTTTGAATAGATAATACATTTTATATCATTCAAAAATCAATGTAATTAGCCATAATTATAGCAATGAAAAGGAAGAATGAAAAGTAATGAATTAAACAACTGGTTTAAAGGAGGAAAAATAATATCAAAGGAAACCAAAAGAAAGCAGAGAAAGAAAATCTAATTAGAAAAATTTTCATACATGGAATAGAAAATTTTTCAGAGATCTAGCCCCAGAAAAAAACACAGGATCCAGACCATTTCTTTTCTTTCTTTTTTTAAATAAAATCTTTTAGGAGATGAGATCTTCCTCTGTCACCCAGGCTGGAGTGCAGGGGCATGATCATAGCTCACTGCAGCCTTGAACTCCTAGGGCTCAGGTAGTCCTCCCACCTCAGCCTCCCAAGTAGCTAGGAGTACAGGCCTGCACCACCATGCCCTGCTAATTGTTTTTTTAATTACGTTTTTTAGAGATATGGTCTCGCTGTGTTGCCCAGGCTGGTCTCAAACTTCCGGCCTCAAGTAATCCTGAGTTACTGGGATTATATATGCAAGCCACCATGTCTGGCTCTCAGAATAAGATAGTTTCATTAAGGAAACTATCTGTCTACTCTTTAATGATTTGAGTGATTCTGTCAAACCATTAAAGAGCAGGTTGTCAATTCTATTTAATCTATTCTAGAGAATATAAAAAGACGGAAAGCTTCCACATTCTTGCTATATATTGATACCAAAATCAAAATTATTATGTCTCTAAAGAATACTATCTCATAACAGTTGGATTTATTTCAGGAATACAAGATTGACTTAATATTAGGAAATCTAATATTATAAATCATCATATAAATAGTCCTAAGGAAAAAAAAATCTTTAAAATTTTGATGTATCAAAAAAAGTCATAAAGTCAAAGGACAAATGATAAATTGGAACAAATATTAGAATTCTTATTCTTTTAGACTATGAGAAGATTAAATACCTATGAAATAGAATTTCCGAAATGCAAGGATATCTTACAGTTATCTTGCTGGGCATGATGGCTGACGCCTATAATCCCAGCACTTTGGGAGGCCGAGGCGGGTGGATCACCTGAGATCAGGAGATTGAGACCAGCCTGGCCAACATGGTGAAACCTCATCTCTACTAAATATACAAAAATCAACTGGGTGTGGTGGCACGTGCCTGTAATCCCAGCTACTCAGGAGGCTGAGGCAGGAGAGTCTCTTCAGCCCAGGAGGCAGAGGTTGTAGTGAACTGAGATCACGTCACTGTACTCCAGCCTGGGTGACAGAGCAAGACTGTCTCAAAAAAAAAGAAAAAAAAAAGTTATAAGTCATATGGCTGTCTCCATGGATGCAGAAAATCCATTTGACAAAATTGAACACCAATTCATAATCTAAAGTAATAAAGTACTAATTAATAGATAACTTCTGTAACACAATCAGCTATATCTAACTCAGTTACATCATACTTAGTGGGGAAGCACAAGTATGTATCCTGACTGAAATTAGAAACAAGACAGTGTTGTCCACTGTAACCACCACTAAATAACATTGCTTTGGAGGTACAAGCCAAAATTTTTTTTTAATTTTTAAATTTTTATTGTATTTTTTATGTTTTTTTAAGACGGAGTCTCAGTCACCCAGGCTGGAGCATGCAGTGGCATAGTCTCAGCTCACTGCAACCTCCGCCTCCTGGGTTCAAGGGATTCTCCTGCCTCAGCCTCCTGAGTAGTTGGGATTACAGTCACCTGCCACCACTCCCGGCTAATTTTTTATTTTTAGTAGAGGCAGTGTTTCACCATGTTGGTCAGGCTGGTCTTGAACTCCTGACCTCAGGTGATCCACCCGCCTCGGCCTCCCAAAATGCTGGGATTACAGGCGTTAGCCATCATGCCTGACCTAGCCAAAACATTTATACAAATAAAAAGAATCTGGAGGTAAAGTAATTGGAAAGGAGGTGATAAAACCATCTTTTTTCACAGATGATATGATGTTTATATATATGTGGAACACCGAAAATAATTAATGGAAACATTCACTTTAAACAATAGGAAAATTGAGTCCCTCAATAGGAAAATAATAGTCAACTTAATCTGTAGAAATCAATATTTTCCATATGTACATAACAGCCAGTTAGAACATAGAATGGAAGAAGAGGACTCCATTTACAATAGCAACAGAGATAAAATGTCCAGAATAAACCTATTCAGAAATGTGCAAAACTGACAGACAAAAACTTTAAAATACTCATGAAGGATGCAAAAGTAGACTTGAACAAGTGGGAGGACACAATTGCTTTTTGAGGCAGACTCAATGTTATAAACATGTCAATTTTCTCTAGATTAATGTATAATTTAAACACAATCCAACTAAAAATATATACATTATTTTTCTGGCACTAGCCAAGTGAATTTTTTAAAGTGCATGTGAAAAAGGACATGAGTAGGCCAGGCATGGTGGCTCACGCCTGTAATCCCAGCACTTTGGGAAGCCAAGGTGGGCGGATCATCTGATGTCAGGAGTTCAAGACCAGTCTGGCCAACATGGCGAAACCCTGTCTCTACTAAAAATACAAAAATTAGCTGGGCGTGGTAGCACATGCCTATAATCCCAGCTACTCAGGAGGCTGAGGCAGGAGAATCACTTGAACCTGGGAAGCAGAGGTTGCAGTGAACCAAGATCACGCTATTGCACTCCAGCCTGGGTGACAGAGTGAGACTCTGTCTCAAAAAAAAAAAAAAAGAAAAAAGAAAAAGGACACAAGTAAGAAAACTTAGATACCTCTGAAAAAGAACAGTGAAGGACTAGATATTAGAAATCGAATCTTTAATATCTATTAAATCTTTAATATTAAATATTAAATTATGTCACTAAGCCTCAGTCATTAAAACTGTATGGCTTAGGCAGAAAAGTAGAATGATCAGTGAAACATAATAGACATTGCAGAAGTAGAGTTAAATACACAATATAATTTAGTTTAATATAAAGGTGGCATCTTATTATTAGTGGGATAAAGATAGGTTTTTATTTTTATTATTATTAATTTATTTTTTTTAGACAGGTCTCACTCTTGCCCAGGTTGGAGTACAGTGGTGCAATCATAGCTCGTTGCACCCTCAGACTCCTGGGCTCAAGAGATTCTCACACTTCAGCCTCCTGAGTAGCTATGACTACAGGAGTGTGCCACCATGCCTGGCTAATTTATTTTTTATTAATTAATTAATTTTTTTGTAGAGACAAGGTCTCACTGTGTTCTCCAGGCTGGTTTGAGGGAACTCCTGGCCTCAAATGATCCTCCTGCCTTGGCCTCCTAAAGTGCAGGAATTATAGGTGTAAGCCACCACACCCAACAAATTTTTAACTAAGTAGTCTTGGTATAACTTGCTAGCCATTTGGACAAAGGTATAGTTAAAGCCATATCTCTTATAATGCTTTATCAGAATAATTGTAAATGAATTAAAGATTTAAATGTAGAAAATAAAATCACAAAAGTACTATGTGACAGCATAGGTGAATTTCCTGTATTACCTTGGAATGAACTTTCTAATTATGAGTCAAAATCAAGGAGTATATTTAGCCAGTGGGAGATCTTTCAAGCTTGTTCATACATCCTTGTGATATCCTCCCATAGGTTGGTTATCTGGGTGGTTTGTTGTCATTAATAAACATCTGAACGTTTAACTCTTGGAATAGTAGTTCTAAAACTTCAGATTGCATGCATGAGAATCTCCAAGAAATCTTTTTAGAAATATAGATTGCTAGATCTCACCTCCAGAGATTCTGGCTCTGGGAAAGAGTGTAGTAATCTACATTTTAAACGTATAATCTTAGAAAACAAATGCCAAATACTCATCATCCTGAAATTAAGGATATCAGTGAGAAGTAAATTGAATCATGCCATGCTACTTGGGGTACTTAGGCATGCACAGTAATTCCATACTTGAAACCAGGCCTAAGATGTGTGGAGATTTCTATCCCCGGGACAACTTCCATCCCCTCAGTCTTAACAGTATCCTCTTCATTCCAAAATGGGTACTGAATTTCATTGCATAAAGAAAACAGTCTAGGCTGGGCATGGTGTCTCATGCCTGTAATCCCAGCACTTTAGGAGGCTGAGGTGGGTGGATCACCTGAGGTCAGGAGTTTGAGACCAGCCTGGTCAATGTGGCGAAACCCTATCTCTACTAGAAATACAAAAAATAGCCAGGTGTGGTGGCATGTGCCTGTAGTCCCAGCTACTTGGGAGGCTGAGGAAGGCGAATTGCGTGAACTCAGGAGACGGAGGTTGCAGTGAGCCGAGATCATGCCACTGTGCCCCAACCTGGGTGACAGAGTGAGACTCTGTCTCAAAAAAAAAAAAAGAAAGAAAACAGTCTGATGTAACTTAGAAACTAAGGAATATTTTCTCATTGGTTCAGTATGAATTGAAATATCTGATACTTTGAGGAAGGGCTTACATAGTCTTAATTTTAGGGAGGGGGTAATTTTTAAAGTAGGCAGTTTTTTTTTTTTTTTTTCTTTTTATTGAGATGGAGTCTGGCTGTGTTGCCCAGGCTGGTCTTGAACTCCTGGGCTCAAGCGATCCACTTGTCTCAGGCTCTGAAAGTGCTGGGTTTACAGGCATGAGCTACCATGCTTGGCCCATTCACGTGGTTCAAATGTAGAAAATACAGAGCAAAAATCTACCTGATACTTTTGTATTCTGTCAGTTCGCAATGTCCCCTAGCACCATCCTTCTTGGGTTTATCTATTTATTTATTTTTAAGTTACATTGAGATGAGGTTTTGCTGTGTTGTCCAGGCTGGTCTTGAACTCCTGTTCCTGGTCTCAAGTGATCCTCCTGCCTCAGCCTCCCAAAGTGCTGGGATTATAGGCATGAGCCACTGTGCCTGACTCTTGAGTTTCTTTATTTGTATATAAGCAAATACAAATAAAATTTTTTTTATTGTCCCTCTCTTTTTATGCAAAATACACATTTTTGTACATTGTTTTTCTTTTAATAATATATTTTGAATATCTTTCTGTATTAGTACATAGAGACCACCTCTCTCTCTCTTTTTTTTTTTTTTACAGCTGCATAGAACTCCATTATATGGATATACTATAATTTATTTAGCCAGGCCCCTGTCAATTGACATTTAGGTTATTTCTAGTGAACTATCTTGTATATATGTCACTGTGTATCCATATAAGATTATCTGTAGGATAATTTCCCCACAGTGGAATTGCCAAATCAAATTATATATATTTGTAATTTTGATAGATATTGCCACATTTGCCTCCCTAGAGGTTGTATCAATACATATATCCACCAGCAATAATTCCTCACAACCTTACTAATGGCATGTGTCATCAAACTTTAGGAGTTTTCCATTCTGTTAGATAGTATAACAGTGCAGTTTTAATATATATTTATCTTATTTTGAGGGAGGTTAAGGGTCTTTTTATATATTTCACTGTCTGGTCATATTTTTTTAGGGCTAAGTCTTAAAAAAACAAGTATTTTCTTCATAAGTAGAACTGCTAGTACAGTGCCATACTTAGAATTCAGTGAAAACTTGGTTGAACCAGATTTAGCAGTTCTTCACTTTCTGGCATAACAACATGTTCCAGGATCAACTCGTACCTACCCTGCCCCAGCTGTGGAATGAGCCATTTCTCTGAGGAGCACTGGTTTTTCTTAATAGGCAACTATATTTTAGATCAAGAGCTGGGACTAGGTGCGCTCCTTGCTACTGGAGTGTATTTTCTTGGCACCTTAATTGCACAGAGCTAGGAAACTTGCATGTCTATACACATATACACATATATACACACATCCATATTCATATACATGTGAAACATGTGCATATACATGTTAAATGTACATATTTTAGAAATGCTGAGTTCCCACAGATAATGCTAATTCCCATCGTATCTACCAATTTCTTTCTTGCCTTTCACCATTCCATATTTGTATATTCCTTCTTCCTAAGTGAGAGCTGATTTCCAACTTCGACAGTGTACCCATTTTGCTCAATTCTATAAGGGCTCATATTGTGTTGTTTCTGGTGAGCTGTCTTGTGTGTATATCCACTGTGTATCCATTACATGTGTCCACTATGTAATACAACTGAAACAATCCAGCATCACTTCACCCATTTCACTGTAGTAAATTGTAACTTGTTTTTTATTTTATTTTTTTATTTTTTTTTATTTTTATTTTTTTTTTGAGACGGAGTCTCGCTCTGTCGCCCAGGCTGGAGTGCGGTGGTCAGATCTCAGCTCACTGCAAGCTCCGCCTCCCGGGTTTACGCCATTCTCCTGCCTCAGCCTCCCGAGTAGCTGGGACTACAGGCGCCCGCCACCTCGCCCGGCTAGTTTTCTTTTTGTATTTTTTAGTAGAGACGGGGTTTCACCGGGTTTGCCAGGATGGTCTCGATCTGCTGACCTCGTGATCCGCCCGTCTCGGCCTCCCAAAGTGCTGGGATTACAGGCTTGAGCCACCGCGCCCGGCCCGTAACTTGTTTTTTAAAAGTTAAAAAAAATTGATATTTCCTTAAAAATAAGTCATAATTAAAAGGAATTTACCTAAATTAGATTTTTATTGTTTCATAAGGGATCCATTGGAGCAATATACAAGGAATTCTTTCATGTAAGCTTTAGAGCAATTATTTTTAGAAATTCTACTTAAAACTTTGATAAGGACACTATATTAGAGTTTATCTAATTAAAAGCAAGATATTTAGTAGTTTTAAGATAATTAAAAAGGGTTTGTTATTAACTATGCTGATAGTCAAGTAGTCGTTTTAGATATAACATTAAAATATGCAAGGCCGGGCGCGGTGGCTCACGGCTGTAATCCTAGCACTTTGGGAGGCCGAGGCGGGCGGATCACGTAGTCAGGAGATCGAGACCATCCTGGCTAACATGGTGAAACCCTGTCTCTACTAAAAATACAAAAAATTAGCCGGGTGTGGTGGCGGGTGCCTGTAGTCCCAGCTGCTCGGGAGGCTGAGGCAGGAGAATGGCATGAACCCGGGAGGCGGAGCTTGCAGTGAGCAGAGATTGTGCCACTGCACTCTAGCCTGGGTGACAGAGCAAGACTCCATCATAAACAAATAAATAAATAAAATATACATAAGGCCAGGCATGGTAATCCCAGGACTTTGAGAGGCTGAGGTGGGAGGATCACTTGAGGCCAGAAATTCAAGACCAGCCTGGGAAATACAGTGAGACCCTGTCTCTACCAAAAATTAAAAACAAGAAATTAGCCAGGCATAGTGGTGCACACCTGTTGTTCTAGCTACTTGGGAAGCTGAGGTGGGAGGATTGCTTGAGCCCAGGAGGTCAAGGATGCAGTGATCCATGATTGCACCGTTGCCCTCCAGCTTGGGTGACAGATCAGGACCATGTCTCAAAAAAAATAAAAAAAATAAAAAAATAAGGAGAGAATTTTAAAAAATACACATATTAAATTGTATTCCACTCTAGGTTCAAGGACACTGCCTTTGACTAGAATAACATATGCAATATTCATAAAGTAAATATAAGCCTTTATTCTAAAACTTTGTATTTCCTCATAAAATCCTATAGGAATAAATATGAAATCTTTTTCTTATGTATAATTATTATAATTTTTCTAGCTTCTAGAAATTGATCATTTACAGTTTTCTCATTTTCTTTCAGATATAGGCATGGACCACCAAGCTCTTCTAAAACAATTTGATCACCTAAACCACCTGAATCCTGACAAGTTTGAATCCACAGATTTAGATATGCTAATCAAAGCGGTGAGAATAATTCCAAAAAGTTTTGTCTTTATTGTGCCTTTGAGGTTTTGTAATTTGATAAGTAAACCCAATGAAATGGAAATATAACTTTTATATATTCTGTTGAAGATCTTTAAAGGAAGGTAGCTTAACCCTTATTAATACAGATATTAATATGTACATACAGGTCTAAAATCCCTTATCCACAATTCCTAAATCCAAAAGCTGTAAAAACTGAAACCTGACCTGAATAAACCAACGACAGTAATACTATTTACAGTTTTTATTTTAACCTACTTAGTGTGAGTATTTATAGATTTTGCTTAAGAAATACTAGGCTGTTTGATTACAGATGCTACAGGGATATTCCATAATATGGCATATATGCCATATTCCCTTTCTTTAAGGTAGAAAATTCTGAAGCACATTTGGCCTCAGAGATTTTAGATAAGAGTGTGTGGATCTCTCATATTATGTGTGAATGGAATTAGTTGTAACCTGGCAAGTATTAGATTAGTTCAATGGTTAGAAGCTATTTAAGTTTTCTGTACTGTCTAGATTTGATATAGTTCCTTTCTTCTTTTTTTTTGAAATCAACTTATATACTACTTCCTTATGAGGAGTTTCTTAAAGTTGGGGCTAGCTTTGAACTTTTAGTTTATTTGAATACCTACATCTCTGGTAATAATAATAACGAAAATTGCCAGGCGTGGTGGCTCACGCCTGTAATCCCAGCACTTTGGGAGGCCAAGGCGGGCGGATCACCCAAGGTCAGCAGTTCAAGACCAGCCTGGCCAACATGGTGAAACCCTGTCTCTACTTAAAATACAAAAATTAGCCAGGGGTGGTGGCAAGTGCCTGTAATCCCAGCTACTCAAGGCCTCAGGAGGCTGAGGTGGGATAATCACTTGAACCAGGAGGCAGAGGTGGCAGTGAGCTGAAATCATGCCACTGCACTTCAGCCTGGGTGACGGGTGAAACTCTGTCTCAAAAAAAAAAAAAAAAAAAAAAAAAAAAAAAAGAACTTGAAGAACTTGACTAAAATGAAATGGTAGAATTAAAAAAGAGGAGTCCAGTATGTTTTTGCTTTCCTGTACCACTTCTGTTCAAGAGTATGCTATATTCAAGAATGGCTTTATTTACATTTTTCAAATGCATGTTTTTATTTAACTTAAATGCATTATTGCATTTCAGGCAACAAGTGATCTGGAAAACTATGACAAGACTCGACATGAAGAATTTAAAAAATATGAAATGATGAAGGAACATGAAAGGAGAGAATATTTAAAAACATTGAATGAAGAAAAGAGAAAAGAAGAAGAGTCTAAATTTGAAGAAATGAAGAAAAAGCATGAAAATCACCCTAAAGTTAATCATCCAGTAAGGATTGTGACTTTATGAAACCATTTTTAGATAAAGATACTTCTTTGTATCAGCGGAATTTTATCGTGTTATTAGTACTGAAATCTTGATTCTTATGCAAAGTTCCTCAAATTTATATTTTGAGTCTGTACAGATAGATTATATTTTGTTTTGAGCAATTTTTTTTTAAATTGGTTCACAGGGAAGCAAAGATCAACTAAAAGAGGTATGGGAAGAGACTGATGGATTGGATCCTAATGACTTTGACCCCAAGACATTTTTCAAATTACATGGTAACAATTTGATACAAATATTAATATTTATATCTGCTGTTTGAAAAAATATTTACTTTCCTCTTAATTGATTTCTGCCAAGGTCTGCTATTGAGTTATCTAGTGAGAGTAAATGGTTAGAGTTTTTCTGGGGTAATATGATAGTCTTTGTTGCTCACCTGCAGTATAAAATTTTAGATCAGTAGCTGTGTCTTTATACTGGCTTTTACTGTTGAGTCATATGAATTATTGCAAAGTTCTCTGTAAACTGAAAACTGTATACTGTGACTAGCTAGGTTATATCTGATAGGCTTTATACTATAATATTACATTTTACTTCTACTCTCATAGAATATTGCTTTACTTTATATTTTTGGAAAACATGGTCAAGATATGCTTTCCTCACAAATGATTATGAGTTACAAATAAATATAGCATATTTATCAGTTGAGCTGATCTAAAGCTTCATGAAAAAGAAGAAATATTTTTCTGCATTCTATTGATGCTTCACATCAGTACTACTTTTGTAAACCTTTTATAAATCATTGTATTTTAATTATTTTCTAAGGTATTAAAATCTTTTTTTACATTTGTAACTTTTAAACTTTAGATGTTAATAGTGATGGATTCCTGGATGAGCAAGAATTAGAAGCCCTATTTACTAAAGAGGTAAATGAGTTTATTAAGTATTCAATGTTCTTGTTCTCTTTCTTTTTTTTTCTTGTTACTTTCTTTCCTTTCATGTTCATTTAAAATTTTTCTTTTTAGTTGGAGAAAGTATATGACCCTAAAAATGAAGAGGATGATATGGTAGAAATGGAAGAAGAAAGGCTTAGAATGAGGGAACATGTAATGAATGAGGTATGTTTTAAAAGTTTAAGATAATATATTATTTCTATATATTATTTAATTCTTGCAATAAATCTTACTTTAAGATGGAAAATATACAGAATTTATATTTAAATGGAGTTTGCGGTTTTTTTTTGTTTGTTTGTTTTTTGTTTTTTTCTTGAGACAGAGTCTTGCTCTGTTGCCCAGGCTAGAGTGCAGTGGTGCAATCATGGCTCACTGCAGCCTCAACCTCCTGGGCTGAAGCAATTCTACCGTCTCAGCCTCCTGAGACTGAGGAGGGACCACCAGCTGGAGCCACCATGCCTAGCTAATTTTTTTTTTTTTTTTGAGATGGAGTCTCACTCTGTCACCCACATTGGAGTGCAGTGGCATGATCTCGGCTTACTGCAACCTCCACCTCCCAGATTCAAGTGATTCTCCTGCCTCAGCTTCCTGAGTATCAGGGATTACAAGCACCCACCACCACACCTTTTTTTATTTTTTATTTTTAGTAGAGACAGGGTTTCCCCATGTTGGCCAGGCTGGTCTTGAACTCCTGACCTCAGGTGATCCATCCACCTTGGCCTCCCAAAGTGCTGGGATTATAGATGGGATTACAGGTGTGAGCCACCAGCCTTTTTTGTTTGTTTTTGAGACACAGTCTCACTCTTTCACCTAGGCTGGAGTGCCGTGGTGCGATCTTCGCTCACTGCAACCTCCGCCTCCCGAGTTCAAGTGATTCTTTTGCCTCAGCCTCCTGAGTAGCTGGGATTGCAGGCATGCACTACCACACCTGGCTGATTTTTGTATTTTTAGTAGAGATGGGGTTTCACTATGTTTGCCAGGCTGGTCCTGAACTCCTGACCTCAAGTGATCCACCCACCTCGCCTTCCCAAAGTGCTGGCTGGGGTTACAGGCATGAGCCCCCACACCAGGCCAAAATTTTTTTTTCTTTTAAGAGACGGTATGTCTTTTGCCATGTTGCCCAGGCTGCCAGCTAACTTTTTAATGTTTGGAGACACAAGGTCTTGCTATGTTGTCCAGGCTGAAGTTTGCATTTTTGATCCAGATTATTATACTAGATGCCTTTAGTATGAATAAAATAATTTGTAACTACTTTAAAATATTCTAAAAGATAAAGATGTTACTGCATATCAGGTATAAAACCTTTTTTTTGGGGCTGGGCATGATAGCTCACGCCTGTAATCCCAACACTTTGGGAGGCCATGGCAAGTGGATCACTTGAGGTCAGAAGCTCGAGACCAGCCTGGCAAACATGGTGAAACCCCGTGTCTACTAAAAATACAAAGATTAGCCGGGTGTGGTGCTGTATACCTATAATCCCAGCTACTTAGGAGGCTGAAGCATGAGAATCGCTTGAACCCAGCAGGCAGAGTTTGCGGTGAGCCAAGATTACACCACTGTACTCTAGCCTGGGTTACACAGCAAGACTTCATCTCAAAACCAAACCAAACCACTCCACACCACACCAAACCAAACCAAACCCTTTTTTCAGTACTGAAAAACAAAAACAAAAAACAACCTCTGGTTACTGCCTCATTTCTCTGTTTCTCTTCAAAGAGTTGTCTATTCTTCCTCTTCCTGTTAATTCTTCACCTTTCCTTTTCGTCTTAATCTGTGCTGTAGCCTCAATCATTCCATTTAAAAATCCTCCCACTGGATGACCTCTATCTTGTCAAGTCCAGTGGTCTCATCTTACTTGACCCCTTGGCAACATTTGATGCCTCCCTCTTTCTTGAAATGGTTTCTTCACTTTTGGGAAACCATACCTCCTCAATTTCTTCATACCCCACTCTCTCTTCTTTGCTGGCTCTTCTTCCTGTTTCCAAGTTCTACATGTTGCATTGCCCTGCTCCCATCCCTTGGCGGTGTTCTTCTTTCTAGCTTCATTCTTTCCTTAGGTGGTAGTGTGGAGTCCCATGTCTCTATATATGCTCTATATCTGCATGTATGCTGGTGAGTTCAATATTTTTATCTTCAGCTGTCTCCTTTCTCTGAGTTCCAGGGTTGTATCTGCTTGACAGTTCTCCTTGTGTTTAACTCACATCTTCTTCAAACCCAGATCTGTTCCTTCCTCAGCCTTTTTCATTTCAACAAATTAATCATAATTCGTCTAGTTGCTCAGGCTAAGTCATCCTTAACTTCTTTCCTCATATCCTGCATTTCCTCTGTTAAGTTCTATTTGACCTATCTTTCAAACAGATCCAGAATTTGACCACTTCCCCCTACTTCCACTACTATTTAATACCAATCAAGTCCAAGCAAGTCTCCTAACTGGCGTCTCTGCTTCTGTTCCTTACCCCACTGCAGACACTTCTTTGTAAGTAGGCAGAATAAGCTCTTAAAAGCATAAATCAGGTCATGTGCTCTCTTGCTTAGGAATACTTCAATGGCTTGCAATTTCCCTTATAATATGATCCCAAATCCCTCCTATTTCCGAAAGATTCGTGACTTCATCCTTGCCTTGCTCTCTGTGACTCTCTCTCCTCTGGCCACACTGGCCTTCTGATGTTTACCTCTCATCAAGCTTGTTCCCATTTTAGAGCATTTGGACTTAATATTTCTTTTTTCTGGAATACTCCTTTTTAGATCATCACAAGGTCTTACTTCCACTGAGTCTGTGCTCAGATGTCCATGGTCCATCTAATGGCTACCCTCATTTAAATATTTGCCTTTCTTTGTAGTTCTTGCTCTGCCTCTCCTCCCTCTAAGCCAAAAACTCTGATATAGGCATCATATGCAGGGTAACTGAATCCCACTATTTTGCTTCAGTAACTTTCATCTGAATTTTTGAGCTGTAAATGCCAAATTGGGATGTCTGTTGACTGCTGACATCCCAACTATCAAGTGAATTTCTTTGACCATTATACAGTACACCTTTGTAATGAAATTTGCCACAGGCTGTAACAACTATGCAAGAGGATTTGGAGAGGTTGTCAGCTTTAGTTTTGATTTACGTAATTGTGTTTTTTTAAGAAAAAGTGTTGAGAGCATTTTAGTTTAACCTCCTTTACTCTTGGCTAAAACTGTCCTCTTTCTAGAATGGTTCTTTTTCTTACTGAAGAACTTGGCTTCAAGAGGGATTATACATATTATGGTAAAGTAGGAAGATGATACCAGTCAACCACTCAGATCAGCTGACTGAAACTTAGTGGTTTTGGGGGCATTAGGTATATAGATATCTCATATTTTCCAATTTGAATTATATAGAAGAGAAAGATATTTATTTTGTAATTCTAGTATAATGTTGAGTGCTCTGTTATTTTTTTTCCCCCAGTTTCTGTGGATGTTAGGTGAGTCCTAATTTCTGTATGTTTATGTAGTGGCATCTATTACAAGACAGTTGATAGTGTCTAAATAATATGAGAAAGATTTACTTTGTATTATGTATACATTTTCTTTTAATCAGGTTGATACTAACAAAGACAGATTGGTGACTCTGGAGGAGTTTTTGAAAGCCACAGAAAAAAAAGAATTCTTGGAGCCAGATAGCTGGGAGGTAATAGAACCTACTCTATATGAGATGTATGGTTCAACAAATTCTGCGTCAGTCTATTGTACTTTTAACTTTTATTCCCCATTATGTTTGCATGTATAGTCTTACTATCTTGGGTTTTTTGTATAAATGTCACTATAAAATAATGAACTTGATTTCTTGGAAAGCTTGTAGCAATTTATTTCTTGTTTATAATCACACTGCATAAAATTAGAAGTCTTTTAAACATTATACTTTTTTTCAAAGTATAAAATAGGATTCATTATTGAAAATTAGAAATATAGATACATTGAAAGAATAAGAATTCACCTATAATTTTACTGCTCAGAGGTAGATTCTCAGGTTATGCATTGTATTATGTTAATTTGGAATAGTATGCAGTTTGTATATATAGTATATTCACATATAGCATACAGTATGTAAACAATGTATTGTCTCATTTTAAATTCACACATATACATATATTCATATTTATTTATTTATTTATTTATTTATTTTTGAGACAGAGTCTTGCTCTGTCACCCAGGCTGGAGTGCAGTGGCACTACCTCGGCTCACTGCAACCTCCGCCTCCTGGGTTCAAGCAATTCTTTGCCTCAGCCTCCCAAGTAACTGGGATTACAGGTGCCTGCCACCACACCTGGCTAATTTTTGTATTTTTAGTAGAGACGGGGTTTCACCATCTTGGCCAGGCTGATCTTGAACTCCTGACCCCTGATTCACCCACCTCGGCCTCCCAAAGTGCTGGGATTACAGGTGTGAGCCACTGCATCAGGCCGGTCATATTTATGTATTTTTTAAAATGGCTTCATGCTGTATAAATGACTTTGTATGTTGATGAAATACTTTTTAAAAATTTAACAATATTTCACAAACTTTTTTAATATCATTCTTCAAAAACATGATTTTTAAAATGGCCACCTAACATGCAGTTATATGGCTGTAGCATAATTTATATATCCATTTCTCCAGATTTAGACATTTTGGGTAAATTCCAGTATTTTACTGTAATGACACTATGATGACTATCCATTTCTCCGCACATTTTTGGGCAATCTATAATGATTTCCCTGGGATTAACTCCCAGGAATAGAACTATTCTTAAGATTTATGAACAGTTGTTTAAATTTCTCAGTATATCTTGGCAGATTGCTCCAGAAAAGTATATCAACTTGTAACACAGTCAACTGTGTTTGAATGAATGCTTAGACAACTTTGAAAAGAATAGTTGAGAGGCACCAACCAAAATGGATGGAAGAAAGAACATAGTCTTTTTCTACATAAAAACTGAAAAGATTACTATTTAAATTAAAATTTTAATTGTCCAGAAAATTGTTTGAGAAAGGGTGAACAGCTATTCTAGTTTACCCAGGACTAAGGAATTTCCAAGGATGTGGAACTTTTCATTGCTAAAACCAGACATTTTTGGGCAAATTGGGACAGTTGGCCCCTTTAGTTTGACATCAGAAAAGTCAACCTCTTTTTGTATTGGTTTTGTCTTAACATTTGAAATGTTTCTTGACTTTAGTGAAGAAGAAGAATGCTAAAATTATTTGTATATACATTCCCTTTAGTGTGTCTGGTAGACTAGAAGATCAATAGATAATTACATACTTAACATTTTGACGTAATTTCAGATTTACAAGAGTTGCAGGAATAGACAGAAAATCCCTGAATACATTTCAACCACATTTAACTATGTTTGCTTTATCTTTCTCTCTTTTTCCCTCCTCTCTATTTTTAATCTCTATGTGTGTATATGTATAACATATAATTATGTTGTAATGTATGTACGTATGTATATGTATGTATATATATAAACATATGTATATATGTACATATATATAAAGTTTTGAATTGCTCGAGAGTAAATTACACATCATGCCACTTTAACCTAAAATACTTGAGTGTTTATTTCTTGCAAACAAGGATTTACCTTATATAATTACAGTAAAATTATCAATACTACACACATCTCTAGACTTCTCCGATCTCTAGACTTAATGACATTTTGTCAATTTTCCCAACAATATTCTTTATAACAAAAGAAAATCCAAGATGATACATTGAATTCAGTTGTAATGTCTTTCTAGTCTCCTTCAATCTGAAACAATTTTTCAAGAGGACAGACTATTATGTTGTACAGTGTCCCTTGAATACCACAGAAGAGATGCTCAGTGTATCCTATTAGAAGGCACATGTTGAGGATCCCCATAACTGGTAACGGTAGCTTTAATCATTTTACTAAGGTGGTGTCTACCAGATTTTTTGACGTAAAGTTATTATTTTACCTTTTGTATTTTAAAAAGTATCTTGTCTAGCCCACCATAGTGAGAGAATCAGAAGTCAGTTTTTGTTTTTTTATTTTATAAATACAGACCAGGTCTCACTATATTGCCCAGGCTAGTCCCGAACTCCTGAGCTCAAGGAATCCTCCTGCCTCAGCCTCCCCAAAATGTGTGAACCACTGTGCCTGGAAAGAAGTCAGCGTTTTTTTTTTGTTTATTTTTTTTTTAATAATTTTAGGAAAAGTAAAGACAGGTTCTCGCTCCGTCACCCAGGCTGGAGTACAGTGGTGTGATCTTAGCTCACTGCAACCTCTGCCCCAACGCCCTTCAACCCACCCCGGCTCAAGTGATCCTCCCACCTCAGCCTCCTGAGTAGCTGAGACCACAGGCATGCACCACCATGCCTGGATCTTCCTTTTTTTTTTTTGTATTTTTAATAGAGGCAGGATCTTGCCATGTTGCCCAGGCTGGTCTTGAACTCCTGAGCTCAAGCAATCTGCCCGCCTTGGCCTCCCAAAGTACTGGGATTACAGATGTGAGTACTGTGCCCAGACAGAAGTCAGCTTTAAAAAAAAAAAAATTCATTCAACATCATATCAAAAATCTTTTCACGTAATATTTGTAAGCCTTATTTTAAAAGCTATGGAGGTATATAAACATTTTTTCAGGGTTAGACATTTAGATTATTTCATTTTTTAATGCTATTTTAAAAAGAAAATGCTGCTACAAATACATTTTTGTATAAAGCTTTTTATGTGATTAGGGTTGTTTTATGGGGTAGATTCTCAGTGTAGCATTACCAGGACCCAGGGAATATTTTTAAGGCTTTTAAGGCTTGAACATCCTGATATACTGAAAGCAAGGAAGTCCCTAAAGAATGATACAGACATGTCACAAAGACACAAAAGTCAGTTTGAAGAAACTCCCATTGGCCAAATCTGGGACAATTTGAACATGGAAATAATGATGATAAGGATTAGAACTTACTGAATAAAACAAGAAGACACGAGTCTACACCGATATAAGTAGAGGGATAGAGAAGGGCGAATTCTTCTGCAAAATTGCTTTTCAAAAGACTTATACCAATTTATAAATCCACCATTAAAAATATGTATACTCTTTAAACATATCAGAGCTGAGCATGGTGGTGCCCACCTGTAGGCCCAGCTACTTAGGAGGCAGGAGGACAGCTTGAGCCCAGGAGTTTGAGACCAGTCTGGGCAATGTAGTGAGACCCTGTCTCTAAAAATAAAAAAATTAAAAAAAATACTTTGAGAATATGTGAATGTATTATGATGTCCATTGATGATTCTAGCTAGAATTATTACTGTGATGCTAGACAAATGGAGATTTTCTAACCTGATCATCCCTTCTACATTTGTTAGTTGGCTTTCTACTGTAATGAAAAGCTATTCCTTCCCCCTTGACCTTCTATTTATATTGATGATTTACCTTATACGTGATCTGCCCGTCTCGGCCTCCCAAAGTGCTGGGATTACAGGCTTGAGCCACCGCGTTGGTTTTCTGTTTCTGCATTAGTTTGCTAAAGATACCGGCCTCCAGGTTCATCCATGTTCCTACAGGGGACGTGATCTCGTTCTTTTTTATGGCTGCATAGTATTCCATGGTGTATATGTACCACATTTCTTTATCTACTCATTTAGGTTGCGCATTTAGGTTGATTCTATGTGTTTGCTATTGTAAAGAGTGCTGCAATGAACATATGTGCAACGACTTTGATTTCAACTTAGCATTCTATCTTTTGCCATATTTCATGCAAAACCTAACTCCCTTTTCCTTAAAAATATTTCATTTATTCACTCAATCCTAGAATGTACAAGAAGTTTCAGAATACTAATCCATGCCTCTGTAAAATGAGACTTTAAATTTTGTTTAGATTTTGTTGTTGTTGGGGCTAGTGCAGTAGCTCATGCACATCTCAGCACTTTGGGAGGCCAAAGGGGGCGGATCACCTGATATAAGGAGTTTGACACCTGGCCAACATGGTGAAACCCTGTCTCTATTAAAAATACAAAAATTAGCAGGGGGAGTGGTGGCGCATTCCTGTAATCCCAGCTGCTTGGAAGGCTGAGGCAGGAGAATCACTTGAACCTGGGAGACGGAGGTTGCAGTGAGCCGAGATTGCACCTCAGCACTCCAGCCTGGATGACAGAGCAAGACTCTGTCTCAAAAAAAAAAAAAAAGATTTTGTCGTTGTTATTTTTAACATGAAGGCATATTGTACAAATACTATGATCAAAAATTACTTGGGTTAGTTCATTTTTTTCCTCTCTGTTCCGTGGGTTATTTTATTCATTTAAAATAAAAGTACTATTTATTTACTTCTGTTTTTCTATTCAAGTTTTAGCATTTTCCTGTCTTGTTGATTTTAATTTTCTTTTCTTGAGTATGTGAAACATTAACACGTTTCCAAAAATTGAATCTATACAGAAAAGGTGTATTCAGATAAGTTTTTTCTTTTTTTTTAATAATTAAAATTTATTGTGTGTGCATACATAGTATGTGTATATATTTACGGGGTACTTAGATATTTTGGTAGAGGCATGCGATGTGTAATAATTACATAATGGAAAATTGAGTATCCATCCCCTCAAGCATTTATCCTTTGTGTTACAAGCAATCCAATTATACTCTTTTAGTTATTTTCAAATGTACAATTAAATTATTATTGACTATAGTCCCCCTGTTGTACTAT